TATTGTTAACAGAGCGGGTATTTAATAGAGCCATGCTGAGTGAGGAGGAGGAATCAGAAACTACAGAAACAGCTGGAGTTAGTGGACGTAAATTAGCAGGGTTAGATCCACGGTGTTTATAAAAACCACTTATGGAGGGAACAGGAGAAACCACTGAGGAATGAGGATAAAACGGCCTTAAAAAAACTTGGACGGATGGCCTGGCAGGAATGTGGAAGTAGCGCTCAGGTCACCAAACAAAGGACAAGAAGCTAGAAGATCGCGCCGATGTTTACCAGATAAACCACGCTTTAAGAGAAGTCTTATTCTCACCTGGATTCCTGCTAGTTTACCTCTTTTCCTCTGACGTTTTCCCGGGACCGGACAAACATAGCCAGAGGCGGGCAGCTCGGGACCGTTGTTTGGCTCCGGGCCGGTGCGCCACTCAGGTAAACAAACAGGATGGTACGTCCTCGGTGCATCTTGGGCGATCGTGAACAAACGGAAGGACAGAAGAGTCTGGCGATCATAGGAGATGGTAGCAGGGACACTACTGAAGAGGATCGCAGACAGGAGCAAGGTGGAAAAGAGGAGGTTAGTGGAGAAAAGTTTGAAAAAGTGGCCGGTGACCGCTGCTAAGCCAAGCACAGGTGCCATCTTGTTGCCGACCAAAACAGTCTTTTTAATAAAGTCTAAGGGCTAAGGGAATAGATGGTTCAGAGCTATGATTCTGTGTAAGTTTGGCAACTGTACTGAAAAGAAATTTAGGATTATTCTTATTCTCCTCAATTAGCGATGAAAAATAAGCAGTTCTAGCTTGTTGAAGCTTCTTTTTTATAAAGCACAAGACTATTTTTCCGGGATAAGTAGGACTCCTCTTGGTGTGTAGAGCACCATGTTCTCTCCAAATTTCTAGAGTTCTGTTTTAAAGTTTGCAGATCAGAATTAAACCAAGGAGCCAAATTCCTGTGCTTAGTTACCTTCTTTTTTAATGGGGCAACATCATCTAATGCCACACGTAAAGAAGTAACATTATGAGCTAGATCATCAATTTGTGAAGGGCTAGAAATGAAAATATTGCCCTCTGCTGCGTTCCTCTGAGATACGGAGGACATTAAAGATGTAACAGTTGATTTAAAAGATGCAACAGCTATGTCAGACAGAGACCAACTATAGTGAAATTTCCATTCTTGTCTAGAAAACTCAGTTTTAATAAACTCAAAGGTTATCAAAAAGTGGTTTGAGAGGACCGGATGGTGTGGAAATGTTGTTATTTCCACACACTCTATGCCATAAGTCAGCACAAGGCCTAATGTATGATGGCAGGAGTGGGTGGAGCTATGTATTCTTTGGGTAAAACCAGTTTAGTCTAAGATATTACTAAAGGCTACATTGAGGCTATCATTTTCAATGTCCACATGAATGTTGAAATCCCCCTCTACAGGTTTGGGCATTGTTTGATTTTGAACGATTCCGATTCCTTGTTTCGATTCCCATTCTTTCAAGACATGACATGTTTTACATGAGCCAGATAACCACAGGTCCTACTTGATGAAATAATCTTAACTTCAACATGAATTTTAATTCCATGAACAATAGCATCACCTTCATTAAGACTAAAACGTGTTTAGGAGAAAAAAACGAAAAAGACTTAAGCCTTATTTATGCTTCTCCGTCTGCGTCAGTGCAGAGACACGCAACGCCATTATCCGTCCTTGCGTAGGGCTCCGGCAGGCACGCAAGTATGTACGAAGTCGAGCCCACTTTTTTAAACATCTGTCGGACGAAACGGATTACGCAAGCTTGTGATTGGTCAGGACGCCGCTGTTGTTTACAGCGCCGCCATAGCAAAGAGAGCCGAGTTTAACTAGCGGCAGACACGGAGAAGCTTGAAGAATACCTCGCGAAAAAACTCAAAATATGAACGTTTCATCCTCCTGTGACTGGAGGAGTGAAAAGATGCTCAGAGAGCGTTTTATTTGTGGACGGAAATGACAGGAAACGTGGGTTTAGAGGTGGGGAGCGCATGAAGCGGTGGGAGAACGAGAGACAAATATGTCCGTGTTAAAAGTCTATTATATACACAAAAAACACAATATAAACAAACGATCTTGGACCGATACATGACAGGATACCACAGAACAGCGCTACGCCCTCTGTGGTCCTGCCGGGCAATTGCTTTGCAACACTCTCCAGGAGACGGAAAAGTAAAAGAGCAAAACGCTTCCGTCAATCCGTGCGTGTCTGTCCCTTGCGGAGCTGACGGAGAAGCATGAACCAGGCTGCACAGCACAACCAGTGTTTGTTTCTGACCACAACCAACGTGTGGAAGAAGCCTTTGGGATGAGTGGCTAAATGTCTCCAACATATCCAGAAATGTCCAGCGGTTTTCAGCTAAAACTCTCAGGATGATCATGTCCAGGATGATTGAGAACTACACCTAAATGCTGCAGGAGCCATTCAGTCAGAACAGAAAGTGAAACTTAAATGTAGCTGACTGCAGTGCTGACGCTCCGTGTGTGTTTTTATTTCTGCAGTGAGACAAACTCACCTCACACCGTCCAGAGTTTGTTCTTTAAAGCTTCTATGAAATCCACCATGTTGACATATTTTAACAAGTTTCCTCTACGCTGCAGGAATTAAAGTTTACATTACGGAGAAAAGGTTCGGCAGATGAATTTGTTTATATTTGGCCGCTGCGCGGCCGTGAGGGTAGGGGGGACAGACAGCTTGTGTGATCAGCTCTGAAAAGTGTTGTTCACAATTTGCAGATCACGTTTATTTTTCACGGAGATCAGCCACAGACTCCTCTTCCGTCGGCATTCCAGGAATCAAAACTAGGAATTGAAATAAAAAACTTTGAACGATTCCGGGAAAAACTAACAGTTGGAACAGGTGTTCTGGGAATTTCTCCTACCCGGTAAACCATCCTACCCGTTGTTCCTGAGCATGTGCCACGCATGCGCACAACACAAAAAGGGAATGCTAGTCCGTTGTCATATTTGCAGGAAAATAGGTAAGTTGTAAGTATTAGTACTTTTTATTGATGTTGATACTTGATTTTTGGGGTTAGGGTTAGGTGGAGTAGATGGAGTAGATGAATCTCAGTGAGTTCCCCCTGAATCAGTAGATTAACCGAAACAGTTTGAATAGGGAGTCACTGGCAATGCACGGGCCGTCGCGTGTCACTCTAGAACCCCCCTCCAGTTGTTGGTTCGTCTTAATGAACAGTAGAAGAGCAGAGTAGAAAAAAATGAAAGGACAGCATAAAGAAACAAGTGAGAAGAAGAAGGGTAAGGGTTAGGGTTAGGGTTAGGGTTTGTGTCATGTAAAACACCGTAAAATTATTCTACGGGTAGGACGTTTTGCCAAAGTAGGACGTTTTCTCAGAACACCGGTTCCAATCGATGCTCGATGCCCAACACTAACTATAATGACCTTATCAGTATTTTGCACCAAATAAGATTAAAAAAATCAGAGATACGATCCAAAAAGTCAGAGTAAAGGTTCCTCTGCCCCGGGAGCGGTGGTTGACTGTAGCTTCCTGGGCGCTCTATAGGTGGGGGTCTATGCTCCCCCTCCACTGAGCGCCCTGACCTAGTGTGGAAGACCTGATGCTCCCGGGGCAGACGGCTCCTCTGATGGCGTTTCCTTGCCTTACCTTTCTTGGCTCATCTGGACTCAGCCAAATATAATTTTTACTTGTGTGTGTGTGTGTGTGTGTGTGTGTGTGTGTGTGTGTGTGTGTGTGTGTGTGTGTGTGTGTGTGTGTGTTTGTGGGTGCGTGCGTGTGCTTGCATATGTCTGTTAATGTTTTTAACCTGTTTTGGGAATCTGGGGTCATTTTGTAAAGCACTTTGAGTAGCACTTTGTTTGAAAAGCGCTTTATAAATAAATCTGATTTATTGATTGACTAAACATAGTTTTTATGTTTTACATTAAAATTACAGTAGTAGTTTTCATTGTTAAACCCTGGAAATATCCATCAAAATGTTGCTGAAAATGAATGAAATGATGCCCAGTTGTTGAAAAATATTGGTGGCTTCGTAACATGGAACCATAAAAATTTGGTCTAAAATACATGAGTGGGTCTAAGTCTCTCGGAGACGCCGTATTAGATGTCAAATTTCCTTCTACGGGTGCCCTTGAGGACAAAACACATTTACTGATTTGTAACAAATGGTTACACAACTTTCACCATTAATAAATGTTGTTTTACACATTTACGTCTTCACTCATTGCCAGTGATTAGAGGGAGTCTGATGTGCTTGTCATTTTGCTGAAGTTTGCACTCCTTGGGCCTTTTTGACCCTAATACAACGGGCATTCGTTAGTAAGGTCTTACGCCAACACAAAAAAACAGCTTGCTTGCAGCGATTTAAGGATCTACTGCCCCCATCGCCAGAAAAAATACACACTGTCACTTTAAGCAACTATATTTAATGGAACCAGTTGACGTAACTTAATTACGAAAACCCAACATGTCATTTCTTAGAGTGAATGAACAAAGACGCTGATGATTTATCCACCTTGCTGAAGTGGATCTCATGACAAATTCCTCAACCCTCAAAATGTAAATCAAAAACCTGCAGATGAGAACCTGGTGTTGCCCAGTCGTGAGACGTGTTTGATTTGTAATCCAGAATCAGCAGCTCTGTGGCGGTTCCACTCATTGCCATGTAAACGACACGCTGCTGTTCCATGGTGACCTTGTGTTTGCAGCTACAGCCCGCTGGACCAAGCTGAGCAAACAAGGTGCTGGTCATTTTACCAGCTCCGTAGCTCCCAGCTGCTGCCGACTCCGAGGAGCAAATTCCTTTGGTAAATACGAATCTATCCAAACTTTTATATATTTTGCTTTCCAGTTACAATTAAAAAATGGAATTCAAACTTTTGCTGCAAACCAACACTCATCTACGAACTTTGTCCAGTACATTTCTTACTGTGCTCTCTTGCTTTAGTGCAATAAAGCTACAGCATTAGCCAGAATAACCAAATATGTGTTCTGCTGATTACACACAGATGGGAGGGCTTACAATGACCGGCTATGTGATAACAGAGTCATAAAGGCTTAATATCCTCTGGTCTTACAGGAAAATGAGGCATTTATCTTTGAAAGTCTCTCAGGTGAGTGGCTGAGCTCCCTTCCTAAGGTTTTCTACACAGGAGTCACGACTAATTGTTTCCTGGTCATTATGATAACATTTCTGTTTTGGGAAAACCTTTTCTGATGTGTTAATTGCTGCAATTTAAAAATCAATAATGTTTCTTTAAAATCTATTTATAAATTAAAAGTAAAATATTGTCTTAGATGTTAATTAGCGTTGTTCAATATTTCATAAATTGGATATAAAGTCCGAATTTGCACCGTTTACTCAAAACGGTTTGTTTAGATTTCATTTTTCAACTAATAACTGGCAGGATGAAAGGAAATTTTCTTTTTGTAACAGCTTATTTTTTTGTATTACACTTTATAAATGGTGATCAACAGAAAAACGGATTATTAATGTTTTCTTTCGTCTTTCCAACATTGCAGAAAGTCTTTGAAATCCCTGAAACCATCACCGTGGGACAATGAATCTTCTTGTAGCGACTCTTTGCCTTCTTTGTACAGGTAAAAATCCTAAATCAGAACAACGTACTGCTAAAAACCAAAAACATAACTACAAAGGCAATGATTTCTCATTGAAAATGGATATTTTAGGTTAAGTTGTCTGCATGGAAATTATGTTCGTTGTAATAAACATGTAACATCTATAACGTTGTAAGGCATTTCTATTGTTTTTAGTTCCTAAGGTAAAAGTTAAAGTAGGTTGTGAATGTTTAAAAATGCAAAAAAAAATTTCATTTCGCCCACGCCAGCGGCGGTCATAATTTAGCAAACCTTCAGTTTGTGTGAGATAAGCGTAGTCTGACAAGAGGGGGACTGATCCTGGTGCATGTTAAAACCATATTTTAAGGTAACCTGATAACAGAGCCGACTGGGTGGTGGCGTGGAGTTGGGTTTGAACACATTCTCGTGGTTTCTGAGCAAAGGTGAAGGTTGACTGATGTCATAAATGAAGAAGTGAAATTCTTTGGAGATAAGGTTTGGTCAGAAACATGGTCCGGCAATTCCAAACACCTTATTGGATTAAAACAAAGTTCATTTCTGTTTACAATGCTGGGAAAATACTGATTCCTCCCTTAAATAACAGTCAAATGTAAACTGTATTACTAAACTGCACATGAAAAAGTCATGATTAAATGTGACTTAATCTTTTTTAGACTTTTTATCAAACCACTTCTGGCCTTAAGGCTCCCATTTACTTGTTTTCTTAAATAAATCTACAGTGGCCTTTTGTATGAACGAAAGCTTTCGAGTCGGTCTGTGGTAGGGCTGCACGATATTAGGAAAACCTGCGATATGCGATAACAGTGATAAAACATTGCCATGACGATATTACTTCCGATATATAAAATTAACTCAGGAACAAAAATAATCAAAAAATAAAAAGAGTTGAACAAAGGTAATTCAGGTGTTTGCGAACCATCAGAATTAAGTGCCATCCACCTCGGGGGCGGGCCTCTAACCTATGAGAACCCACCCAATTAGCCAAATGAGTGATGAGCTCTATTTGATAAAAAAAACCCATCATGCTTCCGTTTGATTGACACAAAGCATTATGTGTAGCAAACATTTGAGCTGACCATTCATTACAATATTTATCTGTTCTTTGCATATTACACATGCTGATATTGCGATAACGATATATTTGCAAAGGTATATTGTGCAGCCCTAGTCTGTGGGAACAAAAGCTCAGACACTCTTGTTTCAGGGGTTAGAAGTTTTTCCATATTCAAAAGTCTCATTGCTGACTGACTAACAGCAACGCGACTCCTGCTGCCTGTATTGCAGAGCTGCTAATGGTTAGCTTCTACTAGCCTAGACATCCTCTGCTCTCTTCTCGATGTAAATTCGATACACTTCTGCAGTCCCAAGCAAGGTGGGCAGCACTATGAATGCTAATTTTCCCTGTGACTTCAAAGAGGTTGGCTTTTATTTTTTGACCTGATGGTTTTCCCGTCTATTTCCTTTCTGCAGCTAATGCAGGCGATGATGGTCGAAGAACATTCTTTCATATTTACCGTGCATTTGCAACTCAGAGTGACCAATCACGTTGCAAAAGTTAGCATTACTCAGCAAACACGACCTCAAAGCATCCAGATTAGCACCTTCATCAGAAGCATGCAATATCTAGTCCATACTGCCCTCTGATGGAGGAGCTTTTGGTGAAAAGGGCCAATTTTATTTCCTAATTATTGATATATTGTTATATAGTGGCATCAAATAAAACATATTATATAGTTGCTACATTAAAATGATCCAATAAATAGTTTAATTTAGGATTTCATTCTGTTTTTACTTACAGCTGCTCTGTGTGAAGACAATCCCTCGAGTTCTGCAACACCCCCAATGCCCAGTACTAGTTTTGGTACTAGTGTTAGTACTGTAACAGAGGACAAGACGAGTGGCCCACCTGCTACAGGTTCTACAGGTGCACCGGCTACAGGTTCTACAGGTGCACCGGCTACAGGTTCTACAGGTGCACCGGCTACAGGTTCTACAGGTGCACCGGCTACAGGTTCTACAGGTGCACCGGCTACAGGTTCTACAGGTGCACCGGCTACAGGATCTACAAGTGCACCGGCTACAGGTTCTACAGGTGCACCGGCTACAGGTTCTACAAGTGCAACAGGCGGAATCACTACAGATACGACCACAGTAGACCAGCCGCCTCCAGAACCTTCATCAGGGGGTCTTTCCGGAGGAGCCATAGCAGGCATCACTATAGGAACTATTGCAGGAGCTGGTGCGTTGGGTGAGTAGAAAAAACCAACACAACCATTACACAGAGAGTCCTCATCACCTGTTACCCCTCAACATGAATCTATGGGATATAATGGACCACAGAGAGGAGAGCATTTGAATTGATGCTACTTTTATTATTTAGCTGATAGAAGGTATATTTATTTGCAGGTGGTGGAGTCTACGGTCTGCTGAAGTACACCAACAGGATCTAAAACACGCCAACTCAAAAATGAAAACTTAATTAGTCAAATGTTTAAAAATGAAGCGTCTATAATCTGAGACCGAATCCTGAACTGGTTCAACGGCCACAGAAGATGATTTGTCTGAAAGGCCAGAATCTGGAGGACGCTGGAGTCCCAGACGATGACGGGCCAGCAGGACGATAAATACCTGTTCTATTCTGTTATGTTGGTTGATAACAATTCAAGCTAATAAAGGCCTTTATTTTGTTATAAAAAATGTTATATGTCAGTTTTTCTGTGCAGGCAGCGAGAGTTCAATTTTACATGTTTAAATTTCACACAAATAAAAAAAGCAGACAAACAGCCTCTTCTTTTGCACTTTTTGTTATTTTTATTTATTTTGCAGCGTGGCTCCATTCTGGCTTTCCAGCCTTTTAGTCCTTGTGCTACCAGAGAAGGAAGTGATTTAGTCTAGAAAAGGAAAACTATTCTCTGCATCTTCTGAACATTTTCACATTCACAACCAACAGTGCTGATGTTTTATTCTTCCACATCCAAAGTTGGTTAAGTTTTCATGTTTTCAAATAAAGTTGATTTGCAAATATAACCCAGTTCGTCACAGCCATTTATTTTCCAGTAGCAACAAGGAAAAGTTATTTCTCATTATTCAAAGACCAAATTCACCGAGAAACCATTTTTTGCCACTTTTGAAACAAGATTGGTGACTCTGAGTTTCACATGCAGGTTAGACGTGAAAATAGTCTTCCTGTATTTCCTTAGCGTTGAACGTGCTACTGCTGGAACATCTGATGAAATAATTAGTCATTATAGAATATCTACAAAGGAACCGCAAAGTATGCAGACATAGAAACAACACTGTGTGTGTGTGTGTGTGTGTGTTTTCCATCTGCGCAAACCCCCTAGTGAGTCGTGGCGAACGGCTGCTCATACTGATCCAGGTTCAGTTGGAGGTTTCTTCCTGTTAAAAGGGAGTTTTCCTCTCTACTGTCGCTACATGCTTGCTTAGTATGAGGATTGCTGTCAAGTCTGACACAAGTCAGTGACTCGATGTGATAATGAACTGCACTCAATGCTCTGATAAGGTTTGTGTTACACTTTCATGATTACATGTATTAAGATGAAGCTGACAACCTTCTCAGTGGCCTAGTGGTAGAGCGTCCGTCCTGGGTCATCAAGGCTCAAATCTCGGTCTTTAAAAATGGGACTCAGTGCCTTCCTGACTGACACTCAGATTTAAGGGGTTGGATTGGGGGGTTAAACCACCAAATAGTTCCTGGACGTAATTACACCAGTGTGATGATGGCTAATAGGACTTTGACTTTAATTCTATTGCAAATAAACTACATAAAACCTTGCATAACATATTCTAAATGTGACAAATGTCTATAAATCCATCATCCCCATAGTTTCGGTGGACAATGTTCACTAAGGAGTGCTGGAACTTACTTTAGTCCTGTAAGTTTCAGACCGTAGATGAGTCAGTGAGCAGAAGGTCACGTTGGTTATCAGGAGCGATAAGGAAATTTGCTGCTGAAGGTTCTCTGGGCAGGTTCTGAGGAAATAAAGATATCTGTGCCAAACGTTTATTGTCTCGCTGATGCAGACTTCCTCTTTACTCTCATTGTGTTTCAGCAAAATTATTTATTTATTGATTTAAATGTCGTGTAGTCTCACCAGTTTGGCTTTGATCTGATCATCAGAGACTGCAGGTGTCTGTCGAATGAATGGTTTGGTTTTTAATGTGATGAAATACCACAAGCTTTTAATTCTTTTCTTTTCATACAAGATCACTTACTTAGTCCATGCCGTTTGTTTCAGCCAAAAATCATCCGCATCAGTGAGCTAATGTGCGTGTGCAGCTGGCATGTCACTGGCAGCTGATCAGGTGGAGCGATACACCAGCAGCAGCAAAATTCTCATAAAATAATAAGAGACTGTTCTTGTAAAAAGGAAGGAAAGACATTTATGCTAACAAATATGTTAAATTGAAACTTGCTTCCTGTTTATTAAATGGACTAGGGGGAAATCTAAACAAAGCATTTCCACAAAGGCAGATGTCCCCACTGGTATTACACGTTGTGTGAGCAAGATAAGAGACGAAGTTGGATCTAACATCCAGGAGGAAGTCATTTGACTATCTAATCAGTGAAAGCCAAACAGGTGACGAAATTTGAGGCTAATTTCTGGTGTTTAGAGCGATCAACAACAGTTAAATAATACACTGTATACATCAGAAGAATGAATGAAATTCAGTTTTTAAACCTTTACAGCAGGGCTATTCAACTCCAGGCCTTAAAGGCCAGTATTCAGCACGTTTTAGTTTGAACTCCGCTTCAACACACCTATTTCAATCAGCAGGTGATCAACAGGCTTCTGCAGAGCCTGATGAGCTGCTGCACAGGTGATTCAACCACTGAATCAAGTGTGTTGGACTAGAGAAACCACTAAAGTGTGCTGGATACCGGCCCGGGATTGAATAGCCCTGCTTTACAGTTTTCCATGTTTATTTTCACTATTCCAACATCCAAACTCTAACCCTACTGAGCGTGTGATGCTGCTGCTGCATCACTTAGCACGAGTCTTGAACTGGAACTTGCTTTGAGTGATTTAACTTGCTGGTAGAGTCCATCCATTTTCACAAGCTTATCCTGAGTCAGGTCGCGGGGGCATAAGCCGAGAGGCTCAGACTTCCCTCTCCCCATCTACTTGGGCCAGCTCCTCCAGGGAAATCCCAAGTCATTCCCTGGCCAGCTGAGAGACATAGTCCCTCTAGTGTGTCCTGGATCTCCTCCCGGTTGGACGTACCCAGAAAACCTCCCCGGAGAGGCATCCTGACCAGATGCCCAAGCCACAGCAACTGACTCCTTTCGACATGAAGGAGTAGCAGGTCTACCAAGCTTCTCACCCTATCTCTAAGGGAGAGCCCAGACACCCTGTGGCGAAAGCTCATTTTGACCGCTTATATCCATCTCGTTCTTTCGGTCACTACCCAAAGCTCATGATCATAGGTGAGGGTAGGAACGTAGATCGACCGGTAAATCGAGAGCTTCACCTTCTGACTCAGCTCTCTCTTCACCACGACAGACCGGTACAACGCCCGCATCACTGCAGATGCAGCACCAATCCACCTATCGATCTCACGCTCCAGTTTTCCCTCACTCGTGAACAAGACCCAGAGATAGTTAAACTCCTCCACTTGGGGCAGGACCTCATCCCTGACCTGGAGAAGGCGTTCTACCCTTTTCTTACTCAAGACCATGGTCTCAGATTTGGAGGAGATGATTCTCATCCCAGCTGCTTCACACTCGGCTGCGAACTGCTCCAGTGAGAGCCAGAGATAACGTTCTGATGAAGCCAACAGGACCACATCATCTGCAAAAAGCAGAGACCTGATCCTCAGGCCACCAAAGCGGATGCCTCAAAACTTTGGCTGCACCTAGAAATCCTGTCCATAAAGGTTATGAACAGAATCTGTGACAAAGGGCGGCCTTGGCGGAGTCCAACTTTCACTGGGAACTAGCTCAACTTACTGCCGGCAGTGATACTAGTTGCAGGGACCTAACAGCCTGTATATGAGGGCCTGGTACCCCAAACTCCTGGAGTAGCCCCCCACAGGGCTCCCCGGGGATGCAGTTTCTCCAAATCCACAAAACACATGTAGAATGGTTGAGCAAACTCTTACGAACTCTCCAGGAGCTCTAGAGCTAGTCCAGTGTTGCACAGCCAGGACGAAAACCACATTGCTCCTCCTGAATCCGAGGTTCGACAATCCGACGGACCCTCCTCTCTAGAATCCCTGAATAGACCTTACCTGGGAGGCTCAGGAGTGAGATCCCCCTGTAGTTGGAGCACACTCTGCGGTCCCCCTTTTTAAATAGGGGTACCACCACCCCAGTCTGCCAATCCTGTGGAACTGCCCCGGATGTCCAAACGATACTGCAGAACCACGTCAACCAACACAGCGCGTAAGCCCATGTAGCCTCATTTAGACCCAGTATCAACATTGAACATGTGACAAATGTGCTTTTTCAGCTCCTTGTGATTTTAGTTTAGTGACAGAATGTGTTACAAAAGCTAAAATTGTAGGTTTGACAACAAACGACTGTTGAAGATTACCAAGTAAATGTGTAAAAGGATAAAAAAGGAATGAATTTGGTTTAAAACACAGAAATGATCCACAATGAAATGGTCAGTACAGCATAAATTTACATTCACTCTCTTCACTGGCAACTTCAGATCCGTCAAATGGGAAAAGGTGGCCATTACTGTAAAAGGAAGAAAATATCTTTATGCTAACGAATATGTTAAACTGAAACTAGCTTCCTGTTTATTACATGGACCAATGGACAAAACTTAATATAACATTTCCATAAAGCAAGAACTTGTCTCCACTTGCATCACGTGGCATCGCATGGGAACTTTTTTTATTAACTCACTGAAAATAAAGATCAACAAACTTTTAATAGAAGCCTTCACCAAATAAAAGGTTAAAGGTAAATTAAAAGATAAGCCTTTAGTTAAAACGTATCCTAAAATTCACTGTTGCATTGTCCCATATTCTGAATGCATCTATATTTATGCTTGTATGTTTCCATAGAGGAGCATTTCCAAAGACGCCAACTAGAAATCTGAATTATCACTGTACTTGAGGAATTATTACTCTGCAGCGATGAAAATAAACATTGCAGCAGCTCTCTTCCTGCTTTGCACAGGTAGAAAAAAAAACTTACAAAATAAATATTTGACCATCACACACACATTAAATAACAGTTAACCATTAATGTAACAAGATGATGGTCTTGGTTTTTATCGAGACAAAAAAGGAACAGACAGTTTGACATGGAAGTATGAGAGGTCCCTCACATAAAATGATGAGACCAAATCTGCACTGTTTGAGTTAATGAGGTTACATTTTAGCTAAATTAAAGAAGAAAATTGATGTTGGACTCGTAAACCTGTGATCTAGTTGTTTTTATATCAAAGATTTAAAGTTAGCGTAGATAATATAAAATGCCATTTGTCATAATTATTGACTTGTTTTTTAAACAACTTTTAGATTATTTCATTTTTTGTTTGAAACAAATAAAAGATCAGCTTTACACCCATAAAGAAGATCTTGATGATTATTAATACAAACATTTCGACACCAGCCAAGAATCCAGGTTTGGGGTTAAATATGCTTTTCTTTGATTTACTTCAACACTTTCTTCTGTTTTTATATTTTACTGATTGTTTTGTGTGAAGCTGATATCAATCCACAATCCACTGTCACATCTGGAACACTTGATGGGTCTCTGTCAACTCAAAATGTCACAGTATCAACAATTACTGGAATTATTTCACCAAACAACACAACAACTGGTCCACCAACCACCACCACCATCAACCACAACAACAACTGGTCCACCAACTCCCATCACAACAACTGGTCCGACAAACCACCAACCCTAAGGACGACTTTCATCAGGCGCGATAGCTGGCATCACCATAGGCTCCATAGCTGGGGGGGGGGGGGGGGGGGGGCTTTACTGGGTGAGTATGGTAAAGGGCTTTAATTGGTATAGTGCTTCTCCAAGTCAGAAGACTAAGTGGTTAAGTGTACAGTCAGTCATTCACACACTGATGGTGAAAAGATCCACTGTCGCCACAACAAGGTTGCCATACACAAACGCCACTGGTCCCTTTGATCACCACCAGCAGGCAAAGAGCATGAAACGTCTTGTCTATGGACACAGCAACTGGCACAGACAGACCTGGGGTTCAAACTAGCAACTACCGCTGTCGCCACACTATGATAGATGATTGATCATAATGACTAGCTGATGTGGATTCCATAATAGGGATTAGGTCTGTAAAGGAGGGTATTTTTGCCCATTTCAATTGGAATGCAAAATCATTGGTAGAAAAGAAAAAACAAGTAAAAATGCACCAATATTATAAAAAAAGGCCAATTCCTGCAGCTACTAAGATTCAGAAATAAAAAGTCACATTTACCCCGAAAAGCTGAATATTTAAACTAGAATTATTTATTTATTTATTCATTTATTTATTTTTTCAGTCTTTACAATGTTTTATGGCTTCAAACTCCTGAATAACAGCTAATCGTTTAATTTTGTTTCAGGTGGAGGCGTCTATGGTCTGCTGAACTACACCAACAAGATCTGAGTTCAGTTTGTCAACCAAGGATGAAAATGGGGAACAATATCAAGCATTTCTTCTCCCCACGATAAACCTGCTACACCAGGGGTGTCAAACTCAAACTCACACAGGGCCTAAATGAAACTCTGGGACGGAGTCGAGGGCCAAACTTAATATTTTTTGAAAAAGTGACGGCAAATTTGCACATTTTCTTTATCAACATAAATGCAATTTTGAACCTTTAAATTTGGAAACAAACTTATTTCTGAATTAACACTGAGTGTGGAATAACCAAATTACACACAAGCAAGTCAGTTTTAAATAAAAGGTATCAGTGGTATTCATTACTTGTGGTATAATCAGCATTTTTAAAATCTATTCATGATTTGTTTTCTTGATTATTCATTTTTCTTATTTTTTATTCTCCTTTTTTTCTCCTGTAATACGTGTCATCGCTGCTGTGACGTCTAGCTTTCCCCACTGAGGAACAATAAAGGGATTTTCTATTCTATTCATCTATCTGTAGCCTTTCCACTTCCTGTTTACTGTAGGTTAAATCTTTTCTCACGTGCCAACAACAAAATAAAAATATCATTTTATCTTAAATGAAAATGCAACATCTCACCTGTTAACTTTCATGTTTTGGAGCAGAAAAAGAGCATAAAACCAACATATTTAAAGCTCAGTTTGCTCCACTGGTTTACTGTGATGCTCACCTGTTCCAGCCAGATACCTGCATCATGGGTTGATCTGAGCTGAGGAGGAGACTCCTGTTGTTTTGTTCATTTTCATCATAATAAACATAATAACCTGTAACTCTCTCCTTCAGTTTTTTAATGATAAGGTCAATAGAATCCATCTCTCTTTACCTCATTCCTCCCCTCCCTCTCCTGATTTATTTTAACCCTCCATTCAGTTCTCCTCCTTTGAACTTCCCCATCCCTCAGAAATATTGGATTACATCACCAAATCCAAACCTTCCACTTGTCAACTTGACCCTATTCCAACAGTTTTAGTTAAATCCTGCCTTTCTGCTCTGCTCCCTTTTATAACAGCCATTATTCATTCCTCACTATCCTCTGGTACGGTCCCATCCCTATTCAAATCCGCTTCAGTCAGCCCTATTCTAAAAAAACCTGGTTTAGATCCCAATGATTTCAATAACCTCCGTCCCATTTCCCATCTTCCCTTCATTTCCAAAGTCCTTGAGAAAACTGTTGCATCTCAGCTCCATACCCATCTCACCCGCAATAACCTTTATGAACAGTTTCAGTCTGGCTTCCGTCCCCACCACAGCACAGAAACAGCTCTCATCAAGATCACTAACGACCTACTCATTGCTGCTGATTCTGGTTTAATCTCTATTCTCATTCTCCTCGATCTGAGTGCGGCCTTTGACACCATTTCTCATTCCATCCTCCTCAATAGACTCTTCCTTAGGCATCACTCACATCCCCCTCCGCTGGTTTCAATCTTACCTTACTGGCCGCACTCAGTTCATCCAGTTAAAATCCTTTACCTCAGAACCCTCCCCAGTCAAGTCAGGTGTGCCCCAGGGCTCTGTCCTGGGGCCCCTCCTCTTCATAGTATATCTCCTCCCCTATCGGCAAAATCTTCCGCAAATTCAATATCCAGTTTCACTGCTTTGCAGATGACACCCAGCTCTACATTTCCAGTAAGCCCAACTCAACTCTCCCACCATCCTCCCTTACACTCTGCCTCTCTGAAATCAAATCATGGTTCACCTCTAATTTCCTCAAACTCAACGGCAATAAAACTGAACTTCTTCTAGTTGGCACTAACTCCACCCTCTCAACATCTGACAGCTTTTCTTTAACTATTGACAGCGCCATAGTCTCCCCCTCCCCTCACATCAAGAGTCTGGGTGTCATTCTCGACAGCTCACTTTCTTTTCAGGCTCACATTAATAACTTAATTCGGTCAGCATACTTCCATCTACGTTCCATAAACCGTCTCCGTCCCTCATTGACCCCTCACACTGCCGCCATTCTCGTCCACAGCCTCGTCACCTCCCGTATCGACTATTGCAATTCACGTCTTTATGGTCTCCCCAACAAACTCCTTCATAAACTGCAACTGGTCCAGAATTCAGCAGCCCGTATTATCACCAGAACCCCTTCCTTTCACCACATCACCCCGGTTCTCCAGCAGCTTCACTGGCTCCCAGTTAAATTCAGGTACATCTTCAAAATTCTCCTCCATACCTTCAAAGCAATCCACAACCTCTCTCCTCCATATATCTCAGACCTTATAAGTATTCACACCCCATCCCGTTCACTCAGATCTTCTTCTTCCATCCATCTTGCGGTTCCTTCTGCCCGTCTCGCTACCATGGGGAGCAGAGCTTTCAGCCGCTCTGCTCCTCGACTCTGGAACTCACTTCCCCCAGACATCAGGAACATCGACAGTTTTACCCTTTTCAAAACAAAACTCAAAACACACATGTTTAAATCTGCCTACAACCTCTGATTTTATTGAACTGTTTCTCTCAGTTTTTTTTTCTTGTTTGGGTTTTATTATTGTTTTATTGTATTTTATTACGTGTTTTCTGTCAAGTGACCTTGGGTGTTCTGAAAGGCGCTTTTAAATAAAATGTATTATTATTATAATAATGACAACATTAGATGACAACAGGTGCTCACATAGGTTTGTGCTGATGAACATGTCTGAGCAGCTTGACCACGTCGTTGTGTCGGGGAGGAAACACAACGACAGCAACCACAGAGTCGTACTGGTTTGAGCGTGTCGCTGCTCACTGGAGTTATATCGGCTCTGTCTGGACGTTAGTTGGAAAACGTTCTCTTTCAGTCGTGAACACATTACTGAGCGGCTAGAATCTCCGTTTCTGGGCTTCAATGTCAGAAAATAGCTGAGTAAACTCGGCGCTGAGTGAGAGGAGTGTTTAGTTTGTCCGAGACAGCGGAGCTGCAGACACCGGCAGCAAGCGCTGGAAAAAACACAAAGGAGGGGGCGCGTCGGCTCCGCGCTGACGCCGCAAAGCATCATGGGAGTTGAAGTCTTTGCGGTAAAATCGGCCAGCGGGCCAGTTTTAATATATTTTTGATATTTATCTCACGGGCCACATAAAAATGCTTCGCGGGCCTTGTGTCTGACATATGTGTGCTACACTGTAAAACTTGTGACCATAGTGATTGACATCATGGGTCAAGAGGAAGACATAATAAAATTGTAAGTTGTTAATCTGCTTAGTTTGTAAATGTAATGCAATTTTTAGACATTTTATTAGTCAGGTTTACTGAAAAAGTGGCTCTAAAATCTGTATTTTTGTAATTAATCCCCCATCAAGCTTCTATATGCGGAGATATTCTCACAGCTGTACAAACTAATTAAATCATTTGCTTTGTCACTTTTACACGGTTTGTGCTTGCAGAACCAACCAAATGTTTGCACATGAAGTCAGTTTGTGCTTCACTGAGTCAGGTTTGTTAATCAGAATACCGTAAATCCTCTAATACAGGCCCGGGCCTGTATTTGACTCAAGCTCATCAAGCTCCAGGCCTTTATTGGAAGGAGGACCAGAATTATAGGCGGGCCTCTATTTCTATTTGAGCAGAATGAACTAATGGTTCGCTGGAGTTTTTGACAATTAAAATTGCGCCCACATTTTCAAAGTTAAACACATTTCTTTTAACAACGGTAGTTCCTGCTTCAGCCCTCTCCCCCCTCCCCCTGCGCAGCGGCCGCAAACTCACTGATGCGCCTGCAGCCTCTCGGAGTTCCTGCTGCTCTAAACATTAAAATAATTATTTCATTTTCTGTTCCTCACTTCTGATTACCTTCAGTGGTGTCTGTTTGTTGCAACCACCAGGTACAAAAACTAACTTGTTTTTATTTGACTATTTTTCTGTCCTGTCTGTTTATTATCTTCCTGCATCTCCTCTCAATCCTAAAGAGAAACTGCTACCTGGGTTCATATATATTCACCTTATGACTTACCTTTGAACTGCAGTTCTAAAAGATCTACCGACCGCAAAAACAGTGGAGTGCTCGCCGGCAACATCAGTGATCGGTGCGTCACCGAGGACAAAACAGGTGATGTGTTCGGGGAGTAATTACACTTGATTACACTTGATTACAATCCAAGTTATTCAGTCAGCTCTATCTGTTTTACCGACAGAGTTGGCTGAAGCTCGGCATTCATACAGATTGTGTTTAACTAAATCATATTCCTCATATACTCGTCTCTTTTAAGGAAAATGTAATTTTGTCAGGTCCCAGACCTTAAGTGGAATTTAGGGGTCCCCAGGGCCTCCAACCCTGCTTAAATATAACCCGGTTATATTTTATCCATCTGTCGATGAATATTTGGCAAACAAAACCTGAGACAATCTTCCCGTTTA